CAGGGATTGTTTCTGGGACTGTGCTCAGGGGCCTATATTTGGTGCTGGGGATTTTAACAGGGGTTGGTTTCTTTGCAAGCACCTTACCTTCTGTACTATCTCTCTTGCTCCCACATAGATGGATATCCGAAGAAAGCAAAAATAGTATGTCAAAGAAATATTTGCATCTCATGTTTACTTCAATGTTATTCACAGTAACCAAAAACATGGAAAACAAAGTATCAACAGATTAATGGATATAGTATTACACAATACACACAGGAATATTATTAAGTCATGAAGTGAAGGGACTCCTGCCATTTTTGATGACATAAATGGACATAAATGTAACATAAAAGGGCAATATGTTAAGTGAAATAAGTCAGACAGAAAGATAAACACTATATTAGCTCACTTAAATGTGGAATCTAAAATAATCCTCGAAACCAAATTCATAGTTATGATTCATGGTTAGCAGTGATGTGGAATAGGGTTGGTGAGGCCAATTACATCAGGGTAGTTAAAAGGTGCAATCCTCCAATTATGTGATAATTAAGTATGAATATGTAGAAACAACAACAAAGAACTCCCACAAACTTTGAAGTTAGTTGAGTTCAGACCTATGAAAATAAAACTTTTGGAATTAAAAATAAATACAATGAAATTTGAATAAATCTTATTATTTGTTTTATTTTCCTAATATCCTTAGAAGTCCATGGCAGATTGAACTGGAAATTTTTTCTCATGAGGTCAACTAACCATGGAGTTGGCCATCTTGAAAAGTAGAATGACTTCTTAGTAAATCCTTAAAGAGTAACAGAAAAAAATTGTCTTATATAGGGTGAATCTAGGACAAAACTGTTTAAAAAGATGAGCGGGTAATGACAGTATACATAAGGACTTTAATGTCCTAGAATCAGTCACGAATGGAAAGTTAAAAAAAACACAATACTTTAAAAGGTCTGCCTCAGGCAATCTCAAAATGTTTGACATTTCATTTATTGGAAAAATGTAGCTTTTTGTAATTAAAAAAGTTTTGACAACTGAAAGTGACTTTAAGACCTGGTAAAATCAGGTCAGGGAAGCTGCTGCTGATCTCTAAGTGTTTATCTTAACACTGAGAGATGGAGGCTATGGATTTTGAGCTGTCCAAGTAATAGGTACTGCAGAGAGAAATTGCAGCCCAATGAAACATTTTTTCAGATTGCAATGAAGCTCAGGCAATCAAGAAATAAATTTTATTCATTTTGACTTTATATGGTAACTCTGGGCTGGAGCAATAGCACAGAGGGTAGGGCATTTGCCTTGCACGCAGCCAATCTGGTCGACCCGAGTTCGAGTCCTCCACCCTTCTCAGAGAGCCCGGAAGCTACCCAGAGTATCTTGCCCGCACAGCAAAGCCTGGCAAGCTACCTGTGACGTATTTGATATGCCAAACACAGTAACAACAAGTCTCACAACGGAGACGTTACTGGGCCCGCTTCAGCAAATCGATGAACAACAGGAGGACAGTGGACTGTGGACAGTGGATGGTAACTCTAAAAAAGTGAATGGCATTAAGATGACATTCTCTTGGAAGTGATCTTCATTTAATTTGTCAACTCTGTCAGCAATACCTTGGCTGTAATGGTCATGAGTGACGATTGGGTTGAGATAACTATCAGCTACTGTATATGAAAACAATAAAATGATCCATTATGCTAGAAGTGTCCTCAATTCACTTCATGTGTTGTCTAGGTTCAGTGCATCCCTTGTTTGTGCCTATGTTCATAGATGCTGGGATGGTTGACTCATTGCTTATAATTAACTCTATATATGTATTCTCTGCAGTAGTAACTGCTCAGAAAAATGGTCTATTCCCCCTAGTACCTTTGATTGATTATGATGCAGTAGCTTCATTTTAATAGCCTAGATATGAAGTCTTTACCATACTTGCACACAAACTCTGCCTATTCTCTGAAAAGACCTTTGAATTCTGTCTGCTTTACTGCTATAGAAGAAAAAGAGTCACGGTAAGTGAAATAATTCAGAAGGATAAGGATAAGTGGTGGGTGATCTCACTCATATGTTGTATATAAAGAAACAAAGCCAGGGAAGATACACTGTCCAGTGAAAACAAGCACTTAGCTTCTGGCTCAGAATTGAAGTTATGCAATGTAGGAGAGAGGAGTGAGTTAAAAGGGTCTGGTGGACTATGCTAGAGGGATATTGGCATTTTGGTGGTAGGTGTGGTGTGGTAGCCTCATACCTCTAAGATATATAAATAAGCTGCTACATGCTTGTAAACCAAGGTTGCCTCAATAAAAATATTATTAAAAAATTCCAGAGGCAGGAAAGAGAGTATTGGTTTGGGTAACAATACTGGGTCAGCGGAGTGGTGACCATATGCAATATGGAAGTATGACATTCTGCTATTCAAAATGAGGTGGCAAGTCTACTGGATGGAGAAAAACAGCAGGCGTCTTTACATAGGAAACATGCTAGAGTGCTCATGGTCAAGCATCCTCTTTGAGAATAGAAATCTAGTGATTTCCTTTGTAAAACATTTCATACCTGAGCTTCATAGAACTTTCCTGGGTGGCATTTTTTGACTATTCTAGTAATGCCTAGCTGTCTAGATTTGAAGCCCACAGTTGACATTTCTGAGCTGAGGGTGCAATTATTACTCTCTTTATCTCAGTTTTCTCATCAGAAACATCACGATCACGATCACGACCATCCTGTTATTCGTCGATTGCCTCGAACAGGCCCCAGTAATGTCTCCTTCGTCCAAGCCCTGAGATTTTTTAAAAAGTGCCAAATTCAAGGCTCTTTCAGAGTTAGGAGAATGAGACCCATCATTGTTACTGGTATTTGGCACATTGGGTACGCCACGGGGAGTTTGCCAGACACTGCCGTGTTATTATCTCATCAGAAACATGGGGATGATAAAAGTATTTCTGTAATATTGTTAGGATGATCCGATAAATTAATACATTAAAAACCTTTAGAATAGTGTTAGACACAAGAACCATATATTTATTAGTTACCAGGGTGACTGGTTTTGGCATATCGAATATTCCAGTTGAATCTCATGAGGGCAATGTTTATGAGAAATAGTCTCGTTCCTGACATTCCATTTGCTCTCAACGGAATGACCATCTCCGAATGCAACAGTTATGTGTACCTAAGTCAAGAAGTCAACACAATGAATGACCTGGCACCTGAGTTGCGCAGGAGGAAGAGAGCATCTTGGAATGCCTTCAAGAGCGTCAAAGAAATAGCTGAGAGGATGAAGAACCTCTGGCTCCAGACACATCTCTTTAATTCCACTGTTCTTCTTGCATTAACATACGCCTCAGAGACCTGGGCCCCACAAAAACAGGATGAGAATGCTATTTGGGTCTCCCAAAGAGGAATCGAAAGAGCTATGCTTGGAGTATCATGTTTCACTCAAATGAGAGAAAGAATCTAGAGTTCCGACCTTCATGGTCAAGAATCAGGGATGCTGTCTCGTTTGCCAAGGCGTTGAGAATTAGATGGGCTGGGCACATAATGAGATTTGAAGACAACTGCTGGACTAGAGCCGTTACCAACTGGATTCCACAGGATGTCAAAAGATCGCGTGGCCGCCCACCTACGAGATGGTCAGACTTCTTCGTCAAGACCCTGAACTATCAGTTTGAGGCTCTTCGTGTTCCTAGAATGAACAGATACCATTGGGCTACACTAGCACACAACAGGGACAAATGGAGACATTACTGGCGCCCGCTCGAGCAAATCGATGAGTAACAGGATGTCAAGTGATCAAGTGATTACTAGGGTGACAGAGTTCATCTTTTATTGTCCAGAATCATTGCCTGTGATTTAAAATACTAATTGTAGTCAGAGATGTAACTCAGTGGTAGAGTTCTTGCCTTGCATGTGTGAGGTACTTGGTTCAAGCCCTGGCACCACACACTTATACACCCACACAAATACAACATATTTGCTGTGGTTATGGAAACTACGAAATTATTTCCTTTCCCAGCTTCATAATGCACAGCCTTCTTGCCGTACTTTTCTTTCTTTCTTTTTTTTTTTTTTGTGATTCCTTTTTTTAAAAAAAATATTTTTTGAGTCACTGTGAGATACATAGGTACAAAGCTATTCGTGGTCTGGTTTCATTCATACAATGTTTCAACACCCACCCCTTCACCAGTGTACATTTCCCCCCCCCCCACCAATGTCCCCAGTTTCCCTCCCTCCTACACCCACCCCACCCCGCATGCTGTCTCTATGGCAGGCACTTTCCTTCTCTTGCTCTCTCTCTTTCTCTCACTCTCTCTCTCCTTTTGGGCATTATGATTTGCAATACAGTTACTGAAAGTCTATCATGTTTGTTCCTTTACCTATTTCAGCATGTAGTTCTTATCTAGAGTGATCATTTTCAACTCTCCTTGTCATAGTGGTCCCTTCTCTATCCCAATTGCCTTGGGAGAACCCTAGCACTTGAGGCAGGTTTCCAACTGGTCCAATCTTCCTGGCCCTTGTTTCTATTGTCCTTGGGTATTAGTCTCATAGACTCTCCCTGTATTAGTTTTATTTGATACTGTGAAAAATTGCCAGAAATTTAGTGGCTTGAATATACAAACTTATTATCTATCTTTCTGGAACTCAGTCTCATTAGGCTAAAATCAAGATATTGATAGGGCTGTGTTCTTTCCGGAGGCATTAGTAGAGAGTTTGTTCCTTTCCTTTTCAGTTTTTAGAGGAGCCTGCTTTCCTTGGCTTGTTGCAGCTTCTTTTTCAAATAGAACATCACAGCTCTTCTTCTATCAACATTTTCTCTCTCCATCTCTCTCTTTCCCTTATTATGACATTGGATCCACTTGGATAGTCTAGGATAATCTTTCCATATAAAAGTTCACAATTTACTCACACTTCTTTTTTTATTTCAGGGGAGAGTACAAGCACAATCCTCCACTATAGCACTGTAGCACTATCCTCCTGTTGTTCACTGATTTGCTCGAGCGGGCACCAGTAACATCTCACAACAAATTGTGAGACCTGTTACTGTTTTTGGCATATTAATCCCCTACTACCACAAATTATGCAGTTGAGTTTTCCACATTTGGGAAAATTACAGGGGTCAGCACATTCAGAGTGCAGCGGATAAATCTCACCCTGGGTAAACCACCTTTGTGATCACCTGCCAGGAAAGAATTAATGACATTTCTAAAGTCCTTGTTTTACATGTTCTGTGAATTAAAATTTAAAATATCTTTGGAGGTCACATGATTGAGCCTACCATAAGCACTTAATAATTGGTGGCTGCGTTTAAAATTTCAAATTATTAATTTTTTGTGATTAAGAATGATTAAATGTTTGCTTAGGTCAATATAGCTCTTTCATTGTTCTTGGATTGCATGTTGTTAGAAGTCAAAATTGAAGGCTTTTAAGTGCATGTATTAAAATCTGTTCTAAGCAAATAATTTAAATTTTAAAAAAGGAACCATGGTTCTAATCCACTATTTATAACTTGATGAAACAGAACTATTCAAATGTATGGTAACAGAGCATGCTAAAATATTATGAAATACCAGCTCACCTGCCATTGTGCAACAAATGAAAAATTGCCAAAATAAAAAAAAACATAAAAAACAAAATTGAAGTTTTTGAGTGAAAGAATACAGTAGCAAATAGTATTACTACTCAATTATTGAAGACAGATTTCTGTCAGATATAGATATGGGTTGTTTGGGAGGGGAGAAGCACCTCCAGTCATACTCAGGGCTTATTGTTAGTGGCAGTGGATGGAACACAAGGGATGCCAGGGTTCAAACTTGGTCAGCTGTATGCAAGGCAAGCACCCTACCCACTATACTATTGGCCCCAATTTTGGCTAGATTTTAAAATGTAATTTAGAAAATAATATGCTGCCCAATACCGCATTGGCAAGTTTGACACCAGTGACTGAAGAAGGTTCAATTCTTGAAGTTTGAGTTAGGGAAAGGCCTGTGTATCATTTTATGTTTTAACGCATAGTCTCTGTCTTATCTGTGAATGGCTCTAGTGCAGTGACTGTCAGTTGTGGGGAGGGTTGTGTTCCCCTTTATTTTGTTTAATTTTTAAATTTAAAGGACTATGATTTACAAAGTTATTGACAGGTGAGTTTTAGGCATATAATATTTCAACACCATTCCTATCACCAGTATCAATTTCCCTTCACCAGTTCCATATTGCATATTCCATCCTTGTATTATATCCCCAACCCAAAACTTATTTTGGTTTTTTAATAACTGCCACTGGGTTACTGTTGTCATCAATAGGGAGAGGACAAGGATGCTACTAAATATCTTAAAGTCCTGCAGTGCATGTAACATCTGCACCTCCACAAAAAATATGATCCCACCCCAAATGTAAATAAATGGTATTGAGACTCAGAAATCCTGATATAGAAAGTATCTAATTTTTTCCCCTTGGTTATTTACTCATTCTGCATACGAATGCCCTAGAGATCAAATGCAAAGGATTTTCTAGTCAAAAAAATTTCAATTTCCCTAGCCATGTTTTCCTATTTTTAAGCAAATATAATTGTTCTGTTAAAAATACCCCAACACTTTGTGATGACTGTTAGAAATATAAGGATACCAAACCAAAGAAAATTCCAGAACAAAGAGAAATTCATTTTAGATTCAGCAATTCAGAGCTATACAAAATCTCTTACATAACATTGATTTGAATAAAATGTTTCTTTTCCCTTTGTGGAAAGGGAGCATGACTATAACTGCCACTGTTGTCTCAATGGAACGTCCTTGAATCCTGTAAGACATGAACTTTCAAATTCTTTGCATCAAGTCAACATGCACCTCTCTGCTTTTGTAAAGGCAATTTATATTTTGGGAGTTTCCTTGTGAGATTAGACATTCAGAAATTATTTGATGTAGATGAGAAGGTGTTGTAAAACGATCTCCTGGTTTTTATTTGATTGAAAGACATTAACTTGGAGGAAGAATAAACCCTGCAAGCCTGCAGTTGGGTGAAAATTTCCTAGTCCCCTGGAGATGGCAGTAGTAGGCAGGAATGGAACCGGAGACTCCTGTTTTTCAGATCTGTCACACACAGACAACCATCATGGATTTTTGTGGCAGCAGAGGACTGATTTTGCTTGCTGAGATTTTTTCCCCCTTAATTAAATCACTGTGAGATACAAAGTTCATGATTGGGTTTCAGTCATGCAATGTTCTAACACCCAACCTGCTAGCTGTTTTAATAGAGAAATTCTACCTTCTTTCTGCAGTTTTATTCACAAATGCTGCTTTATGTTCTTTCTGAGCAAGGTCTTGTATAAGTGAATGAATACATACATGAAATTCCCAGCTAGTACTGCTTAAGTCATCCCACATCTGCTTTAAGTAAGTCCTATCTCATTTGGAAACCTATTGAATTGTAAGCACAATATTGACAGGGACTGAGATACATAAGATAATGAGTGAGTCCTTAGTCTGGGAGAGGCTTAAAAACACACAAAAGAATCGACCTTGACAGTGTTATGCTAAGTGAAATAAGTTAGACAAAACCTGAGAAAAACAAAACCTTACAGTTTCTCATAGAAGATAAAGAAGTGAAGTGAAAACAAACTCTTAGAATAAATCAGAGATCACGAGAGTGATTAGGAGTGTGTGAGCTGGGTAATGGGGGTTAAATAGTACAGTGGTAGATAGAAGCTAGACTTTTGATAGTGATCACAATGTTTTTGTGTGTAATTTTTCTTTGTTTCTGGGTCATACCCAGTGATGCCCAGGGGTTACTTCTGGCTCTGTACTCAAGAAATCCCACTCTGGGCCATGCTTGGAGGACCATATGGGATGAAAAGTACAAGGTCAGTTGTACTACCCACTGTGCTATCTCTCCAGCCCCTTGTGTGTAATTTCGTACACGTATTTTGAAGTATAATGCTATACATTGGAAATATATACATACATATATATATACACACACACACATATAACATATATATATATATATATATATATATGGATATATGGGCTGGAGCGATAGCACAGCGGTAGGGCGTTTGCCTTGCGCGCAGCCAGCCCGGCTGAGCCAGGTTCGATTCCTCCAACTCTCTCGGAGAGTCCAGCAAGCTACCGAGAGTATCTCCCCCGCACGACAAAGCCTGGCAAACTCCCCATGGTGTATTCGATATGCCAAACACAGTAACAACAAGTCTCATGATGGAGACGTTACTGGGCCCGATCGAGCAAATCCATGAACAATGGGAGGACAGTGACAGATATGGATATATAATTGGAAATCCATACTGCATCTGTAAAAATTGAAGCAACAGGGGCTTCTTGCTAATCCCAGTTTAATTCCTTACACCAGAAATCCTGTCAAGAGATGCTCCTGAGCACAGACCAAGGAGTAGCCCCTGAGCACTGATGGGTGAGGGTCCAACCCCTAAATGGAAACAACAACACATAGATCATTTCATGGTTTCAGTATATTATACTTCAACCAAATCACCCAGAGCTATGACAGTCTATGGGTCAAGTTAACCCAGTCAGAGGGGGCTGAAACACTTCTGGATGAAAGGGCACCTGAGCTGAGTTGAAAAGAATAGAGAGTTAGCTAGGGGGAATAAAGATAAAAAGATTGTCCTCAGGTAGGAAACAGCATGACTAAAGATGGGGGTGGTGAGAAGCCTGACATTTACTACGTTACTCGACTGCAAAGTGGAAGGCAGGGGGTGAGAGAAAAGCTAAATGGAGGTCAAGTCATGGAAATGCTAAAAAAGGAAAAACGGCTTCGGAAGTCGAGGTGGTAGTGGTGTGCAGAAGTATCATCTGGGGCTCTGGTTTGCAGCAGGTTTCTTGACCTCTTCCTCAGAGTTTTCTACCCACCACACCAACCACTGCACTCGAGTGCAAGTTGAGTTCATCACATCTTCCAGCTCAAAGCACACAGTCATCTTTGTGCTAAACTTTTCTCTTTTACCCTTTTCCCTGCTTCTTATTGAGATTGCCTCCCTCATAGAACTTGGGTTTTATACCCCTTCCACACGCCCTTCTACAGTCTTCTCTATTGGAAGGTTTCTAGTATTATTATTATTACTATTATTTTAAGTCACTGTGAGATACAGTTACATCATCTGGTTTCAGTCATACAATGTTCCAAGACCCATTTCTCCACCAGTGTACATTACCCATGACCAGTATTCCCAGTTTCTTTCTCACCATCCTCCCCCCAGCCTGTTTCTATGGCAGGCACTTTCCTTGTTTCTGTCTCTGTCTCTCTCTGTCTCTGTCTCTTTGTCCTTTGGGGAATTATGTGCTTTTTTTTTCTTTCTGGGCCACACCCGGAGATGCACAGGGATTACTCCTGGCTTTGCACTCAGGAATTACTCCCAGCGGTGCTCGGAGGACCATATGGGATGCTGAGAATCGAACCCGGGTCAGCCTCGTGCAAGGCAAATGCCCTACCCGCTGTACTATTGCTCCAGCCCCTGGGGCATTAGAGTTTGTAATACAGGTACTGAGAGCTTATCATGTTTACTTCTTGACCTGTTTTCAACACTCAGTTCTTATCCAGAGTAATCATTTCAGGATCTTTACTTTAAAAAGAAGAATGAGCGATAGCACAGCGGTAGGGCATTTGCCTTGCATGCAGCTGTCCTGGCTGAGCCGGGTTTGATTCCTTTGCCACTCTTGGAGAGCCTGGCAAGCTACTGAGAGTATCTTGCCCGCACGGCAAAGCCTGGCAAGCTACCCATGACGTATTCGATATGCCAAAGACAGTAACAACAAGTCTCACGATAGAGACGTTACTGGGCCCGCGTGAGCAAATCGATGAACAATGGGAGGACAGTGCTACAGAAGTATTTAAATGTATGTAAATGGTGTTATGCTCTAAATTAGTGGCTTTCAACCATTTTGCACCTGCATACTGGCACCATTCCTTACACTGGTAGTTGAAAATCATGGCTTGAAATCAGTTTTTATCCATCTCTGTGTGTTTCTGTGTTTGTCTCATTGAGTTTGCTGATGCCTCTCCATGGTTTGCTTAGATAAGCAAACACACAGAGTTGGATAAAAACTGATACACTAGATAGTGCATCCTGATGAATTCATTGTTTTTCTCTTTCAATTTCATGGAGAACATCTCTTTGATGAACACTGTCATTCATATTCCCTTATGAGTCAGATGAACATCTTTCTGCCC